GGCCCGCAAGCGGAATCAATGGAACAATTGTGTACAGTGTTGTGTTGATTCACATGTTTAATTCTACAAACATTGAAAATGACAAAAAAAGAAAAAAAATCGGCGTGTGACAAACAAACTAAAAAGGTTTTGTTCTATATTTTTGTTAAAATATTCCATTTTCTTGCGTCATACTAGTTGAAGTGTGTTGCTCACCCTCAACTAGCATGCCACGATGATTATGACGCAATGACTGTCTCTTATACACTGATTTCCATGGCTTTCTTGGCTCTATGTCTAGTTACTAGACTGCTGAGATTACATGGTGGTTGGCGGCATCCGGTTTCGGATTTGCCTGTCACTGTGGCAAGTCACAGGAAACCTGCGCCTACAGAGGGACCATGGATGGCTTGCGCTGAACCACCCACAGCTCCAACCACATACCCCATATCCAGTGTAAACCCGAAGGAATAAGACCGGGAGGCATGCGGATGGGAACCACGTTTCATCAACGGAGCCGGCCCACACTCCTTCACAGGCAAACACAAGCACGTTGTATTTGGGGAATCAACCGCACACAAGACGGTGGCTGGACCGTAGTCCGCTCCACACTGAGTGCATGGAACCACTCTTTGAGCCTAGCACGGCCACAAGAACCGTGCATCCCGTCCCCTCCAGCAACGACCAACTGTCTCCTGGAGCCAGTATGAACGATATAGTGGGTAATAGACAGGTAGGCACCTTGTCAACATACACATCAAGCGCAACCACACCGGGGATATCAAACAACAGCCATTCACTTTAAACGACAAGCTGAAATAAAATAAATCCAATAATGCATACAGATACGGTGGCATAACTCTTCGCTAAGTTACCATATGAAGTAAGTTGGTTAGCAACGAGTCCGCGATAAGTAAGAAATGTCCACAAGTTACTCAAAAATGCTACAAACGCAACTAAGTTACCGAAGATAAGCGCAATTAGTGCAAGCAACGTGGCCAGTTATTAGAACATTATTCAGGGAGGCAGAACAAACCAAATAAAGCGGAATGAAATTTAGCCAGCTTAAAAAGACCTAGTTTAAGTGTAAGTTAGTTTAGGCCAACATATATACATAATGCAGTGTTAATGTGTCATCAAGTCGGTTTCTGCATAGTGATAGGGTGGGGAGGGTGCACTAATCACAGGCGACGAGATGGAGTTCCATGACTTCGACACTCGGACGGAGAGAGGGCTTCATCGGCATTTCAGTCGGCTGCTCAGATATGTGTTTCGGCTGGGTTTCAAAAAATGGTTGCAAGTGTGATTGGGGTATCTTAGGATCTGATACACTATCATGAGATTGCCCCCTTGACGTCTATAACGTTCACCACACACTTTTAGTTTTCAGCCTGAGTTTGTAAGGAAGACTGGACAAAGCTTTGACGTTCCTCGTCATTCGGCGTTGTGCAGCTGCCAGGGTTACCATGCTTGGATAGGGTGTTCCACATACGGGCTCACGTACATGAAAGCACTTGCGGAAAGATTGAGGCATCAAACTTTCCGAACACCAAACAGAGGCTGAAGTAGACTTCTTTCTTGTAGTAAACAGGAAACACTCACGCTTTCAGTATGTGGTGAGGTTGGATTTTATTCATGTTTATATCTCCCTATCGTTCACTAGTTTTACTTAGCATTTGCTCTCTCTCTCTCTCTTTGACGATGATCCACTGTCGAATGCCTTTGAGAAATCCCGATAGGCGACATCCACTCCAATTATAGTATAATCGAGCTACAAATAGAGTAGGAGTGAATGACCGATTTTGGCAAAATAAGTGTCACTTCGGAGCGACAATCTCGTTACTCTTCATACACCCTATGACTACTTCAGTGGCAACGGACTCCATGAATTTGAAGATCACCGGAAGTAGCAACATCAGACGATAATTCGCTGGTTCTGCACGGCTGCCACTCCTGTAGATTAGAGCGGCGCCCACGTGCTTCTGCATTGTGGGGACCTGCATCTCGTTTAAGACTTAATAACATTTATTATTGATATGGTAACAGTAATAATAGTATATTTCTCGAGTGTGCGTAACACTATCCCTGGAATAGGGACAGACCATCAGTACAATAACGAGCATACTCACGCATGAGTGATACGTATTCCGTAGCATCCGTCTTATGAAGATACTCAGGTGCAGCGCTTTGTGCAACATCTTTCCTTACTAGCTATGCATTCCTTGGTTGTGCTTGGAAGAACTCATCTGTTGATTTACCCGATAAAATCATGGTCATTATCGAGTTCTCGTCCAGGAAATTCTCAAGCTCAATGCGGAACGTTCTTGAATTCGTAAAAGATCTGACAGTGGATAGGAGACTGATTCATACGACAGCGTAGCTGATAAAGAAGGAAAGAATGGTTGTCCTTGTTCTTCGCGTAAGCAGTCTACAATTATTGCAGCGAAATCTCTGGTTGAAGTTATGCTGCAATTCTAATTTGCACCGATTGGATGTCTTTTGGTACACGAGATTGTTTATGAGCATCAAGTTATGTTCCAGTCTTTGCAACCAAAGAGGCATGAGATAAAGTTGTGGGCAACGCTTCTGACAGCTGAAGGAGGATGAGTTACTTAACAAATGTTTAGTGAATAATAATTGAAGTTTTCCGGAACTTTTCGGCTACAGATATGCTTGTTTTTATGGATAATGATACAGTTTTCAAGGACGGGAAGTGTGAGGATTATGAAAAGTTTGATTTTGGCAGGGAGCGTATGGATTTCATGGCATGTTAGGCACAGATGTTTTGGCGCGCGCTATTGGATATTCGGCCAGCTAAAAGTCAAAGGTTAAAGAATATCGCACACCCGGATCACAGCTAGAACCTTTCACACACCGCTAATAGAATATATCTAACTGTTCATCTAAGCTCATGGCAGCCACTTCCAACGACTTTGCGGAATGCTGTCTGCAACACGGGAACTGTACAGACGCAAGGAAAACAGTCGTTTCAGCACATCTGCAGCAGTAAATGAGACACGATTAATTACTGGTGGTTATGTGATCTGTGAGAAAATGTTATTAGGGCGGAGCGTTCTGGAAAGTATCAGCAAACTGATGCCCAGGAGAGTTAGCTGCCCCTTGCGCAGATTGCGCTTGCTCACATGCGATGTTTAGTAGAGCGATGCCACGCTGTACGTTCGAGTTTTGTTAACATGTCTGTGAAGTAGCTCCGGAATGGAGCAGAAAAGCTTCGCTAAGTCCTGTTGGTGTTTCAGTTTGTATTCTCAGACCAGTATGACAAAATGGACTCGCTCGGTTATGCAGGCATTCCAGATTTTGACATGTGGATTGGCTCCGTATGGTTTCCAATGTGAATCGCTCAAGGTCATTCGTTTCCGCGTTCTACTCCTCAGGAAAGACCTAACTTTTTTGAGCTAAGGATCTTAGTCCCTGCGGCGTTCGCAACTAACTGAACTGGTTGACGAATTCCACTAAGCAACATCGGGTGGTCATTCAGCTAGAAACGACCAGTCAGCGACCTTGACGAGGTCAGACAGAATGCAGTAATGTGTCAGTATACGGAAGTCCACGATGTACCCGTTGAAGTGTTCTGCGTGACAGACGTAGCGAGAAAACAGTATGGCATGATCACTGTGCCCCAAGGGGCTACTCACTTGGTGTGTCGATCATAAATTCCTCCTTAGTAAAGAAGAGGTGCAGAATGGCCGTTTCGCTCGCCGTTCCGAATCTCGTACGGGGATTGGCGCGATTATGAAGTGGTAGACCCGCGATTAGATATTGCAGTTCGGTCTATAACTGCTCATCAAGGGAGGCCGGAAACACTAGAGCGTGCCAGCTGAAGTCTACCCACAAGAAGGCGCGTGTAAGGACGAGCCAGATGCGTTTTTAGAACAGAACCTAGACGGTTGTCCGTTTCTAGAGTTGATATAGGAGGACAGTATATAAGCGTAACCAAAAATGTATCGATACGTCTAATTCGGACGCGGCACCAAAGTGAGACCACAACTTGAAACCCTGGGTCGTCAACGATTTAGAGATGTAGATCACTGCGATGGTAGCACATTACGCGAACTGCCATAATAGGTCGAGGATTGTTTAGGACGGATATAGCTGGTAGAGCGATCTCTTGATCAGTGATTTCATCGTGCAGCCATGTGCCAGTTATCAATAGCAGATCTATAGACATCAGGACATGACCAGATTTAAGTGTAGATAATTAGTTGGAAATGCAATGATCAGTGGTATACATAGGGGAGAGTACTTCGAATGTCAGAAGCGTCTCTGATGGTGCGAGGTGTTACTGACCATAGTAAAATCGGTAGAAAATCATTTAGGGGGGGGGGGACTACTGACGTTGAACCGCTTCATATTGACTGATAGAATGCTCAGCAGATGAGGTTCAGGTTGCAACAAGTGTTGCGCCATAAACCGTTGGTTGTGTCCCGCAGTGATCCGTTTCGGAAGTAAGAATAACTGAAGTCAACGTTAGGCCCCGGTGACTTCGCTCTCTGGTCATATGGGGTCTCGTTTCGAACGCCTTTAAGCGTAGCTCTGAGAAGTTCTTACGCCGCTTGAGCCCCGTTTTAAGTGCGTTCTCCGCGCAAGCGAGACTTCCATCAATTAGGGACTGTAACTAACTAGCGCACAAAAAAGTAAATGCTCTTTTAGGTACTATTTCATTGTTGACCAATTGTACACTCTTCTTTCTTGTTTTAATCTTCCTTACAACCGGCTCATCACTTGACCGTCTTGCAAGTTCCTGCGCTAACATGTTGCTCCTGTCTCGCTTCATCCGTCCGCGTCTTCTTGTAGCCTGTCGAATACAGTCCGCTGTGTCCGGCTCCAAATGTCTTCCGATATCAGCGCTTAGCTTCGCGTACCGTCTCGGACTAGTATTTACTAGTCCTACATAACCCGTCGAGATTGTAGGGAAAGGTCGAAAGAACTGCTCGATGGCTCGTAAATTAAAATATATTTCGTAAGTGCATACAAGCCGAAATGGGATAGAAAAACCCACTAATAAAGCCAATGTGGTTCATGGAATTTTAACAACGAGCAAGGAATCAATCCATTATTCATTTAGGTGGAGCATCGTGTGGCGAACCATTCGGCGAAATCAGCCAAAACTGAAAGTGCTTCGCAGCGTGCCAGCACAGCTTTTGGAATGGGAGAATCAGAACCAGTTTCCTTTGTCGGAATTCCTACAAAGCCTCCAGCGAGAGAACATGCCATTGTCCCAATCGTGTCTGTATCACCTCCCAAGGAGATGCAGTACACGAGGCAACGGAGTGGGATAGACTGATGAAGAAAAGTGGGCAAAATAGATGAGCACTAAAAGGAAATAAGCTCAATCCACTACACAGATGAACAGTCGAGATTTAATATGATTTAATAAGTCGGACAGGCTGTTAACAAAGTGCGAAAACCACTACACCGAAGGACGGTCAGCTGAGTGGTTGACAAGGGATCAGATGTCCGTATCAGAGATTACCGGGGAAAAAAGCAACTAAACGAACTGGTAGTGCAGACAATCGGGTCGCTGATAAACATAGCGCGTATGTTAGACAAAAGTGCACACTGTGCAGCTTGGAAAAACCAGGTGCATAAGCTACATCGGAAACCCACTGTAGTAGTTGCATACAGCAATGAGTTCGCGACAGATGATCAGGGGTAGGCCAGAGTCCTCACAAATTGTTTGTGGTTCTAACCTGGAAAAGGGGCCACTTTATAAGCGCAATGTTGAGGATATCATGTGCGTGGCGGACGACACAGAAAACCAGATGAAATGGCTATGAAAATTCGATCAAGCACATAGAAACTTCAAATTCAGCATACAATCGTAGTCGGATGAATGTAGAGCCTTTCTAGACGTACAAATATCGTTGACCAGACGGAACTTTACAACGTAAAATTTATAGAAAATCAACAGGGACTGGCCAATATACCCATTTTGACAGTTTTGTGCCACCAAAACAAAAGCGAAACCTAATCCGTTGCCTTACTCAAAAAGCAATGAAAATTCGCTCGGAAGACAAGGTTGTACAGGAACACGTAAAAATAAAAAAATCATCACTTAACAATGACTACCCCGAGTCATTCATTGACAGAAACATGCTGACTGACCAGTGACATGTTAAAATGCCCACCGTAAAACGGGGCAACTTTGGGTCAACATGAAAAAGTTCAAAACTTAGATGGCACTTATTTTTTATTATTGTTTGCGCGGTAAAATTGGTTTTATGTGTAGAAAAATTATTTTTCATTAATTTGTAATCATGTTATGCTGAAATGGAATATTCAGTCCTGAGAATACTCGTGGTGAAGATAGTCGGTGTTATGGCACATATCAAATATGCGGCATACTTTCAACTGCGAATTCAGTTTCTAAGAGTGTAAGTATAACCACCTGTGTTGTTTCTTTGTCAATAAGTAATAGTAAGGATATTTGATGGTATCCAAACACTTGTATCACGCAAATGTTACCTCAGTGAGGTTTGTTATTTTGGGCCAACTTTTGCCAGGTGGCCAAAGTAAACACTGCTAGAACACAACGCTCAATGTTTGCAAATTCAAATAAAATGTCACTGATGTTAAATATGTAGTGCAAATGTTTACTGAAGCCTTCATAAACTATCAAGGAAGGGTAGTCATTAGGCTTAAAAACAATAAGCCTGGTAAAGACAAGCTTGCGTCTTTTATGAACAGACACAGCGACACACTAAGATTGTGCCAAAATACCTCAAAGAAGAGAGCAAGCTTGTCAAGAAAAACCGCTTCGGAGTATGTTAACAGATTAAAAGAAATAGCGAAGGATGTTCTATCGTTTACCATAAGTAACTACAGCGAAAGCAATTTGTTTGACGATTGTGGGCGGACAAAAGTAATCTTTAAAAAGACACCAAATAGGATTAGGAACTCGTCAAAGTCAGCAATTATCCTGATGTTTGCTGGCACCATGAATAGAGAGTTACTGCCGCCAAATGTGGTGTACAAAGCGGAATAGCTTTGGAACACTTGGACGGAGAACGATCCACCATGCACACAATATAAAAGATCAAGGTCAGGCCGGTTTGGCTACACCTGCTTTTGTACTACTTGCAGCAATTGGCATTAAATCTCGGTGGCAGAAAAACGAGCCGTTGTCTCCTTTTGGGTGACAACCACAGTTCACATTTTTCTCTCGACATGGTCTGACACTGCAATGAAAACAACGTAGCATTTTGTTTCCTCCCACCTAACTCAACCCACCTGTCCCAGCTTAGCCTTTAGATGAAGACCTAGTGGAGGACTATCCTGACAAAATATAAAACCCGTGGCAAAAAGGCCCAAACCATCTAGAAGGATAGGTTTCCGGGGCTACTCAAGCAGTTTCTAAAAACACCATGCGTAAAGCCAGTGCAGAAAACCTACGGTCAGAGTTTAGAAGAAATGGCATGCACCCAATAAATCTCCAGTCTGTCCTGAAGAATTCTAGAGGAAAATGAAGAAGACGCAGATGCCATCAGCACTTCCGTTTCGGAAGGATTCAGGCAACAACTGAAAGAAATGCGCTTTGCCACTGATGAAGAAAATTTATCACAACGAAAAATGCTCTGAACGTTCAGTCTGGAAAAAGTGCCTTGGGTCCAACCGAGGAGCTTGTTACTGGAACCAAGCCTTGTGCTGAATCAGAAAGGGACTCGGATGCCAACGTTTATCTAAGACAAGTCGATTACTTGTCCTCCATCGGTGATGTCAGTGACAACCGACTAGGAATTTTTTTGATTGTGATGACGAGTGTATTTCACCATCAAAGAAAGCCAGGCGAACACGAAAAACATTTTTGAGATATTTGCTTAAGTATTTAATAATGTTACAGATGCGCTTTGTAATTTTTTACATATAAGCAGTGACCTTGCGTTATATAACATTGGTGCTGCGTACGTGTTGTCTTCAATATCAAAGTATCCCTGTTAAGGGGTAACTTTGGCCAAAGGATATCTTTTAAAACCAGTGCCTAAAGGATATAGAAGTGCATCAGGTAACATTTTCTACAAGATTATAACACTATAACCCATAAACAGATCACTTAATAATTATACCAAATGCACTGATGTGTGTTGTACATTCTAAACCAAAAAAAGTGGACCAAAGTTATCCGGTTTAACGGTACAGTAGAAAAGAAACATGTTTATCTATCTTGCCTGTACTATGCGACAACACAGCAACACTTAGAAGTGTAATCAAGAACACGTATTTCGCAGGACAGATACGAATCTTCTTCGATTCAACACCGGTGAATGATAAACTGTCTGTGGATTCTACCCCTTCTGTCGGTACCGACTGACCAGATAGTTTGCCCAAGCATTCGTGGTGGTGCCGTCCTCTGTACACGCGCTCAAGCAATGTTACAGATCACACCTGAAAGTCTACCGAGTTTCCGCCCCTAAGCGCTACTTCTGTAAGCATCCCTACACTTGGTCAAAGCGGAACTTAAACGACACGAAAACGCGCAGGTGAGAGAACCTGCGCCCTAGACAGACGAAGCAGCCCCATGAAACGACTCGTATTTGTATCAAATTTCCTAGTGGCCTCCATGTTTCGCTAGAACCAAACTGCTGCTCTCCACCGTTTAAGGCGCATTTATTAAGGTTCGGCATAGCAGACGCCTACCAGCAAACGGAAGCGCCCTTTGTGTCGCAAGCCCTTTGACTATCAACACGTCGTGGTCTCTTCCAGTAAACAAAATTATCTCTTCGTGTCAAGATCGCCCCGGCCCTCTTCCAGTAAACGATGGACGCGAAGGTTGTTGGCATTCCAACTGCAGTGGTGCAGCTAGACGATCTCCTTATCATGCGTCGCAGCTCAGGCGAACTTCGAGAACAACGAGTCTCACGGTTCTCGGACGTATCCATGATTACCGATTCAAACTGAGAGAAGAAAATGTCAGATTTTCCTCCGACCCATCATGTTCAATAAGGATGACCGTCATCCAGGTCCCGCAAACGTCCAAGCCATTCAGTAGATGTTAATTCCCGATAATGCAACGCAGCTGCCTGCGTTCCTTAGCCTTAACAGCTATATAATCGAGTGCAAGCATTGCGTTAATCTGATCTGATAGGGTTAAATTGAAACATCAGCAGGATTTAGCAGAGATGCTGCTCCAACCCCAAGCTAGTTTACAAGCACGTCAACAAGCTCCGTAAAGTACAGTGTGGATTCCCGTCGTTGAACAACGCACGCAGGCAAGCGCAAACTGTGCAAGAAGCGGCCAACGGTCTTAGACAACAATTCAGTAGCATTTTTGAGTAACTTCTGGACATTTTGTACTTATCGCGGATTCGTTGCTAAGCAACGTACTTCATATACAAATGTAGGGAAGAGTTACGTCCGCATAGCCGTGTGATTTAAAAGATATACTTTTTTGATAATGTTATTTCAAGTGATTGGCTATTGCTTGATAACCCCAGTGGCTGTAATTTACAGAACTCACACATATCCCCTACAATTGTTACACCGATCATGCCACTAAAAGGACTCAGCCACATCTCATTTACTACGGCGGACGCACAGAAGCGACTGGTGTCACTGCCTGTGCAGTTCTCCTGACGCGGTTAACTTACACACAAGGCTACTGAAAGTGGCGGCCAGCAGCCTGGCTGAACCGTTGTCCCGGTTTTTCCAATATTGTCTTGACAACATACAGGTGCCGGTCATGAGGAAGCATGGAATAGTCACTCTCGTTTACAAGGGGAGCAACCGCGCCGAACCGGCAAAATACCGCCCGATAACTCTGTTTCCGGTTCTTCACAAGCTCATGGAATCCCTCCTCATGAAATACTTGGAAAGATGCAATATCATAGTACCGGGGCAACATGGTTTCCGCCGAAACTGCTCATATACCACGTTGTTAACCCGTGCCAGGTGGACGGAATCTGTCGACGCTGAGGATGAAGCTGACGCTGTGTACCTCGATTTATCGAACGCGTTAGATCGTCCCGATCACAACACGCTCCTTCTCAAGCTTCAGACCTGTGGAACCGGCGACCTCATCCTGGGTCGGACACGCGCATTCCTATTTCAACGTCGCCTAAACGTGAGAGTTCGTAGCGCCTTAGCTGACCCAATACAGGTGCAATGTGGTGTCCCACAAGGCTCGGTTCAAGGACCAAGGCTTTTCCACGTCTTCATTAACAATCTCGTGGGAGTGATCGATTTAAACGTTTTACTCTTCGCAGACGATCTCAAAATGTGGAGTACTATCAGGATGGTAAATGACCAAATGACACTAGTAGGTTAGCTCGACAAGTCTCACGATT